AGTCTAGATCAAGCTTATTTTTATATTTTACAATTCAAAAAGATTAACGCAATTAATCAAATTTTGAAAGTGCATCCCAGGTAGAGGTAAATTTAATTTCTTACTCTTCTTATCCAAGCAACCTCAATTTATCATTAATATTTGAACGTGCAATGCTGTAGGTTTTGTTTTCTTATTAATGAGGTCACTTATTGTCACTTTTGAATAATTTGCATTTTTATAAACCTCTGACATTGAATTAGTCATGAAAGAATGAAATCGAGACGAAGGGAATCCATAATTTTTCCAGCATTTCATACAATGGCATAAATATTGCATTTATATATTATTTTCTCCCCCTTTCCAATAAAAGCGATTGTCTTGACAGATTCCTTTCGTTTAAACATATCTTGCATTTTTCCAATTTGCAGTGAGAAAGAAAGAAAGTTTCCATCCATTGTGAGCCATCTGCGGGGGGGGGGGGGGGGCGGGTGCGGAATTCCCGGGAGATGAAATGCGACCTGGAATTTCCAGCCGTCCAATATATACCATATTCGCTTATGCAACCTGGCCGACGGGGCGGACGCGCCGGTTGCCTACTCTGGCCCTTATTGCGATTCCGGCCGCGTCTCTTCGGCTGACGTGAGAGCTTCGCTTAAGTGTTAATACTCTCAGAGACCCTCTCCACGGGCAGGAGAAAGAGAGAGAGAGATCCTTTCAGGAAATGAAATCAGAGCAAAATGGAGCGCAATCCAAACAAAACTCGCCGGCCGGAAAACGTCTCATTTACTCGGCACAAAGCTTCCCTTTGTCAACACGCCCGGAATTGAATTACACTGGCTTGTGTTGTTTTCGAGAATTATATTCCAATTTGCCGGCGTGCAGGAGAAAATCGCATTCAGCAGGCAGCCTCATTTTGAGAGTTTAAACGACGCCCGAGAGAGCAAAAGCGGCGCGCGTTTTATTGAAATGGTAATTTCGCCGCTCGGAGAACAAGAAAGTGGAGGAGGATGGGTGACCGCCCAAGCAGAAGCGCCGCAAGTTTGCGAGAATCGCGAGTGATTTGCCTTTGTTTGGGTTGATCTCGAGAAAGAGAGGAGCGAATTTCACTTTCCAGGCGAGATCGAATGAAAGCTCTTCGGTTGCAAAAAAGTCCAGACCGTTCCTACAAGCTCGATTCAATATCCAATAAAAGCGCTCCTTGTCCGTTGGAGAAAAGGGTTCTGACAAACCATCAGTGTATAAATTTCTTTCTCAATTGACAAGGGAAAGAAATATAAATTTTAAAGTAAAAGTTGAATCTTGCATCAAACATTGAATTTTTTAGGAAAAAATTGTGTTATCTATTAAAGTTTTTTTGAGCCTATCAAAAATTCAATGATTTTTATTCCATCAAAAAATTACATTGTGTTAAAAATGATGAATCATAGAATCGCTTTTTACTTTCGATAAAATAAAAATTTTGGGTTTTTTCTAGTTCATTATTTTTTCCATGACTCATTTTCAATTTCACTGACTTAAATTGATCAAAATTAAAATCCTAATTTAAATTAGGGATAAATTTAAATATCTGGAATAATTTACTTCTGTAATTAGGAATAATGATTTTTTTTTTTAAATTTATTATTCATTCAGAGGCAGTTTTCATTTGCCTCTCCGAGTTCCTTGTGCGGCGTTGGGACGAAAAATACATACACGTCTGCAGATGTGCGCAGCTTTTGTTTGGCTGGCGGATTAGTTTCTGTATTCTTGCCTGCTCACAAAGAAAGCCCATTGCGAATAAGCCGAGAAGTTTCCGATGCGAAAATTTCACGCTAATGCCTCATCAACTCCCAGGAGGCTGACGTACGTGATCGAGATGCGGCCGTGGCGGGCACGTCTATTGTGCAGCCTCTTTCTTCGCTTCGATCCGCAACTCCCCTGGGCTGCTTTGATTACCGCGCGCTGATTTCCAACGGATCGATCGCGCGTGGCGTGACAAACGATCGGCAATCGCCGCACGCCAATTATGTGTGCGGCCTGCTGTGTAATTCATTACCTAGTGACGCACGTGTCTTGAGAATTTAAGTGGAGATGTAACGAGAGCGCGGCTCAATTTGGTCGAATTTATTGCTCTGACTATTTTATTACTCCAAATAAATTTGGAATAAAATCAAATGTGATAAATCTTTGAATTTGTGAAATTGGGAATCAATTGATTGACAATTCAAAATCATCTGTTTCGATTTCCTGAATAAAACAAACATTAATTTTTAATAGTTAAAAAAGTTATTATTTTTTTTTAATCTTTTACTTCCAAATCATTATAAATAAATTGAAATGGTATAATTATATTTTTTGCTATTTTTATAATCTCTGAAGAATTCGTATCAAATGGTGCCAGGAAAATTAAAACCGTCAGTGTAGTTCAAAAGCTGCGGGGGTAGGGTTTAAAAAAACTTTTCCTTTAATGCTTTTTACTCGGAATCAAATTTTATTGGCAACTCAAGGCTTTATTTCAGAGAATGAAACGTTCAAATCGAGAGCTAGTGTTATTCAAAAGCCACAACACTCGTTCCACCTCTTAATGGAAGTTGCGGGAGAGAAATGCTTTTCGCCCTTGGAGCACGCGAGGAATTTATTGTGCATGATTTACCTTTTGCGGCCCCCGAGGGCTATAACTCTCGAATACCATTGGATTTGCGTCGGCCCAACTTTGGAGACTGTTATGGCAAGTTTTCAGTTCAAATCTCGGCTGGCAACACACATTAATATTTAACTACGCGCAGAGTTCGGGCAAACTTTTGCTGCGAGAGTCAGAACTATAAGCAAATCTCTCTCTCAGGTTGTTTCAATTTTTCGACCGTCGGAAAAGCAGAAAATCGTTACACTTGATGTTTGAATAATTTGCACAAGTTGAGGCGGAGCGGTGGATAAATGTTGATTTTCAGACCGTTTTGATATTAAGTGGCAGGGATAAAATAAACAGCTAGGTGTGTTATGGAAGAAAATTGAACAAGTTGTGAACCCACAAGAGGACAAAAACTTTTTCAACAAATTTAAAAAGTTTAAATTAGAGAATCTTGGGCTCATTTGGCCTTTTTGATGTTCATCAAACTTTTTTTCTAATTTGTTAACTGAAACAAATGAAAATTGCTTTTTTTTTATAAAATATAACTTTCTTTTGCAAAAATTTATGATGGAAAAATCCAAAGCGACTCAATTTTACGTCACCAAAATTTATGGGTTCAAATTTTAGATTGATTTACTCCCGTTTTGATTTGTTATGCAGTAACTTATGCTAATTTCAAATAATCCCAATATATAACTCTGGAAAATTTGGTTAGATTTTTAACATTAACTTTTAGATATATCATTAAAATACCTGTCAGAAAATGCAACCATTATAATTATTGAATTTTCCTAGATTGATGTATTCAACAACGCGATTTCTTTTTCTTTTGAAGAACTCGATTGTGCTTTTTGTGGTTCAATGTTTCTTACAGTTTATTATTTTGTGGGCACGGCTCTATATAGCATTAATTGCTAACATGAAAACATGCATTCCGCAAATTCCAACCCAAAGCATACTAAAGAGTGTGTATTTGCGCTCAGCGAGAATTTTTTTACCTTTTCCACCTCATAATTATGACTTTTTACTTGGAATATAAATAATTATAAAGATTTAGGTCAGAGATTGCAGTAAACACAGGCTTGAAAAGAGCAAATTTTATAATTCTTTTCATTTAAAAAGTGAATGTAAATATAACTTGCGCCTCGATTTACAGTTTACACGCGAGTGGGAATCGCAAGTCTCGCAGCAGCCGCCCAGGCGTGTGTTCCTCTTTAACAACCCTTCATATTCAGTTAGTGGAATAATTTCGTAAAGAGAACAGGGTATGCAACAGAGAGACGCGCAGAACTAACTAAAGTCAATATAGCCAGACCAAAACTCTCTGTTTGCTTTAGAACTGTGCAAGATTTGAACGCCGAAACCAAAAATAAAAATTCCCTGCCTTTGACAGAGTGCGCACGCATTTGAATTAGGAAAAAAGGACCCTCGTAATTAATATTTACCTGCGCGTCAAATTAATAAAGTTGCAGAGAGCGAAATTTAATTAAAAGTGACCCACGCAAAGTCCAAAACCGCCGTGATGACGCAAGGTCTCTGCTGCTTTTGCGCCGGGGCTAATTTACTTTGGGCCGGATTTTTTTTTAATATATTTTTCTTTGAAGCAAAAAGCGCACAATGTGTTGGCAATTCGGAGAGGGCGAGATTCTGTTTCCTCTTTTTTTCTACTCGATCGCAAAGGAAAAGAAATTGAGCGGAGGGAAAGGGTCCCCTTTCAAGATCAACGCAAAAAGAGAGCCTTTGTGCAATCAATTTGAAGGCTGCGTTCGCAAAACAGCACAATAAAGTGTGTTGTTCAACTCTCCCTGGAGGCGAAGAGAAGAGAATTCTTTGATGGGAGGCTTAATTTGATCTCGAGTCCTTTTCTCTCTCTTTTCCTTTCACTCAAACAAAAGAGTCGAAGCGTGTTTAATTGTTTTAACACTCGCGGCCAACACAATTTCCAGAGCAAATTAACGAAGGGCATAAGCAGGACGCAGCCTTCAACTCGTTTGATTAATGAAAAATTAATGAATCGATTGTATTTGCACTGGAAAGAAAATGAAATAATATATACGATCAATATTCCATAAAATTTAATTAAAACTGAGAATTTTCATTTAATGTTCTATTTAATAGCAACAATAACAATTCCATAGGTATAAATGGGTATAAAAAACAAATGATGAAGCATTCTGTTTTAATTATCGGTGGAAATGCTCACTTTTACAATTCTAGCTCATTTTAGAACAATCAGAACTCAGAACCCAAATAAAACCCAGTAATTAAGAAAAGAAGTCTAAACATGAGCTTATTTTGGTGAAAAATGTACCAAAAATTTCAACTCCATTAAAATCAGAATAAATTAGTAAAGCAAAAATTAATTAAGTCTTTCTTCAAATTAATTTTAATACTATGTATTTATTTGCAGGACCACGATTTGTGTTGGTCGCTGGCGTTGGCGCTGCACTACATGCGGCTGAGCGTGTTCTGCTGGCTGGCCGCGATGACCTTTGACTTGTACTGCTGCTTCCGGGAGAACGTGTCGCTGGTGGCCGCCCTGCCGTCGCCGCCCGCCCTGCGCCAGTCCTTCGCGCGCCTCTCGCTGTTCGCGTGGGGCGCCCCCCTCCTCCCCACGCTGGCCGCCGGCCTCCTGCAGATGCGCCCCGCGGCCGCCGGCCTCTCCGACCCCAACTGCTGGTTCCTTGACGACGTGCCCGCGGCGGCCACTTTCGCCGTCCCGGCCGCCGCCCTTCTTATTGCTGACCTCGCCTTCCTGGTGCGCGCCGCGGCCGTCGCTCGCGCGGCCGTCGGCCTCCAACTCGAGCAGCGTGTCAAGGTTCAAACATTCATCAATATACAATTTTGTACAATTAAAAATTAGAGAATGAATATTAATCTTGCACTAATTAATTTCATTCATATTCAATTTTACTGATTTTTTATAAAATTTTATTTTATAAAATAAAGTCTTCATAATTGTAACCCACATTATTTAAATTTATTAATTAGGCTAAACTACCACTAATTGATGCAATGATTCTTAAAATACGGAATAATTGTTCAAGAGAGAAATAAAGGGAAAAATTATTATATACTGTTTTTATTAAAAGTTTGATATTTCTACAAATCGCTTTTCGATTAATGATTACTTTATTGCCTCTGATTTGAGTTTCTAATCAATTTAAAAATCTCCTTCGTCATTTAACAAATTGAAGTACATAGAATAATTAAGCTTAAAGCTTCTGTATAAAGTCAATTATTGCCTGTACCCTGTAGATGAATTTAAAATTTGCTCTCAACTACTTTCTTATGTATCAATTTAAAAAAAAAAAATTAACTTAAGCTCCTCTCTCTCTTTCTTATATAAGGGCGAAAATTTAAGCAAGAAAGATCAATTTCTTTCTTATCAATCACTTAACCAAAATTTAAATCGGTTTTCTTTCTTGAATATTAGAAATTCAGATTTTTAAATATTGATTGAATTTTTAAAGTAAGGTTTACTTTTTAACAACTTGCTCTCTTTGATTTAAGCCTAATGGTTGGAATTTTAATCCACAGGCCAAGATGTTGCGCAGGCGACGGCTGCAGTTGTGGCTGTTTTTCCGGCTGGCCGCCTTCCTGGCCGTGGTCAGCGCCGTAGGAGTGTTCGGCCGCCTCATGCACAGCCAACTGCTGCTGGCCGTGTTCAGCGTGGCCGCCGGCCTGCAGGGCCTGGTGGTGGCGCTCAGCGTGGCCTGCAGCTGCCGCGTCCTCAAACTGTACACGCGACCGCGCCGGCCGCCTCCCGCGGCCAGGCCGGGGGCGCTGCACAAGGCGCCTAGCGCCATGCACCTCCTCCAGTGCGACGCCTCCCCGGTCTGAGACCACAAATAAAAATTCAACTTTACATATATCAGTGGCTACATACAATCCATAGTTGTAAAATTAAATGCAATCTCTGAATTAATAAATGTCTATTTTGGTGTTTATTTAAAAGAATTTTATTTTAGATTGTTACAAAATTAGCTTGTATTCCTGTGAAATTTCCATTCAGTCTGTTATGTGAGCAAGCGAGCAAGGTGCGATATAAATTTGAAATTTTTTATGAAAGAATGGCAAATAAACACACCAACTGTCTCATTTTTGGCATCTATTTATTGATGATTTATACAAACGTCCAAAACCAATTGGGCTGCGACTCTCTTTGAGGCAAAAGAAAAATGCATAGAAATGATTTGAAGACAAAAATGCTGCTAAGTGTGTTGGTGAACTCAACTGCTTTGTACCAACGACTCGTCGTAAAACCATCAGAGCTCCTCTTTCGTTAAGCGAGGTGATCGAAGAGGAGTGTTGGACCAAATTCTGGCCGATCATTTTACTCAGTTTATTAATCTACCATTTAAGTTATATGAGCCACTCAAATACATTAACACAATTGAATTTTGTTGCGGTGACACCAGCTGATCCTGCCCTGACACCTGAATTTTAAACCGTTTTAAACAATGCAAAACAAGAAAAGAAATCCTCCTACTTTAACGCCGTTGAATTTTTTGTTAATGAGACTTTTTTTAGAGAACGATCGATAATGATAAAATGAATCTAGAATTTAAAATACGTGGAGATGGAGAGCAGTACAAATACTTATAAATTAAGAAAGGATTATTTCGATTGGAGTTTTAATAATTAAAAATTATTTGAAGCCACATTAAACAATATAATAAGAAGCGCAAAAATGAAAGTTTGTTTAAATTCAAAATCGTACATTTCTTGCTGATTTTGCGTGGGGCGCCCCCCCCCCTCCTCCCCACACTGGCCTGCTGATGCAATGTGCAAGTTCAAAATATACTCCAAATCAAATAATCAAAATATTATTGATTTCAAATCATTAAGTAGCAAGTACACTTTTGTTGTTACACTATTAAAATAGAAAATTAGACTTAATTTACTTATTGAAGTTTAGAATCATGTGTAGAATAGAAACTGCAATGTAGAGGAGCAATATGTGTCATAAAACGAGTTTTGACGACTAAAAATCGCCGCTGGTTGCCGCGCCGGGAGAAAAACAGCACGCATTCCATTGACTTGATAATAATTATAAACTGCGCCACTAGGTGGCACCACGAGATAGAGCGAGCAAAATATGGGGCAATGGGGGTTGTTGTATGGCTCTGGGGGGAGCGGAATCCAGCGGTCGGGGGTGGGGTAAAAAAGTGCCTTCTTTTGTCGCGGTTTCTTTCCCTACCGCGACAGCTTTCAATTTTCATCAAAACGCGTTCACAATTCACTGAATTCACTCACAATCAGTCTCAGCAGAGATAAAAGAATAAAGGGAATAAAGTCTAAAAAGTCTCATAGTACCAATCTCAGTACTCACTGAATCCCAATCCCACTCTCCTTCGAACAAGTCCAGACAAGTCGGAGAGCAGGAAAGACAGAAATTTGTATGTAGTTTTTCTGCGCAATAATATATCCGACGCCAATTTAGCCGTTCATCTTGTGGCTTTTCTGTGTACGACTATCGCTGTGGCTGCAAAGCTTGTTTTAGATATTCTCTGGGCTTGACAAGCGTTTGTCTCGTCCTTCATCGTCTCAATAAGTGTGTCTTTATATATTCATTCCTTGCGTGAGCACTGAACAGAATAATATGTAATTATGATGACGCCGGCAATAATTTCTTTGACGCGGTATGTTATTCGAAGATTTAGTCTCATACATTTTGATCTGTTAACATCAAATCAAAATTATTTTCTTTTTAGGCTGGAAATGCCGGAAGGCAAAGATCCATTGTTTGCTAGCAAGCATGAAGGGTTCAAAAACCTATCTCTGACAGATTTTAAAGTCAACGTGGTTGACCATGCAAGCGCAGTTTTTGAGGAGGTATTTCGACTCATGACATAACTTTTGAATTTGTCTTATTTAATGCCTGCTTTATTAAAAAATTTTAGACTTTGCATTTCAACAAAGCAATCTTGATGACGACATGGCCATTGTTGTTCAAAGATGTCTTGGAGATTGAAAAGCATTGTGTTCCTTTGTCAGCAGCTCATACCACATGGAGACCAGTGTTGAACCTCCAAGGAATTTGCTCTAAATCAGCCTTAAGGATGATCCTTGAGTAAACGTTTTCTTTAAATTTATTCACTAATAGATTTTCATGAATTATTTTTAGGTTTGTCCATCTCTCAAAGATTGATTCACCACTTGGCATGGATTGCTTTATCGAAGTATTCCAACTTGCCACTCAATACCCTGTAGATTCACTCATCAGTTACTGCCTGGAGGTTTTGAACATCAATCTGAGTGAGAATACTGTTTGGCTTTTCCTTAACTCCATGCTTACAAAGACTGAGATGGAAAACTCCGTTGTGGCGAGAAAATGTGCTAAAGTCTGTCCTCATATTTTCTTACAATGGTACTGTCTGAACTATATTATTTTCTTTTAATTGTTATAGGTGTTGTGTGAGAACACACTGAGGTGCTTGGAGCATCCCTTGGCAATGAAAGCAAGTGAGAAGAGCATCATTTTCATGCTTCAGCAAGAAGAATTGAGTGTTTCCTCGGAGAAGCAACTCATCGACTTTTGCGCCAAATGGGCCAAACAGTTCCCAAGCAGCAGGTTTGTTGCATTAAATTTTGATTTGCAGAGATTTTGACGATTCATTCCTTAAAATTATAGGAAAGTCATGCGAGGGCTCCTTCCTCACCTGCGAGTCTTGACTCTGAAGCCAGCAGAAGTCGCAGGTCTTCCTGACTTTTTGACCAAGACTGAACAGTTGGCTATTTTGGTCGACCTCATCAATGGCAGTGGTGCTGCGGAAAGCAGTTCTTGTTTTGGACAGAGGCGTCCTGCTCTCCCTGACACCGTCTGCGCCACTGCCATGCCCAGGTCTCATGGTGGAATGACATTCATGCCCTTCTTGTTGCCCACAATGATCTCCATTGCTCCGCACCTAATTCCACCCATCTTGAGATTTTCATCACCTGATCAGAAGACATTCACAAATGTGGTCAAGATTTCCGTCAAGGAAAGTGTGAATCTAAGCCAAGTTTGCATTCTCAGCGCCATCACTGGTTTTGCAAAGGTCAATATAATGGAACTAGACCTCAACAGACTGGGCGAGGTAGTTTATCCCACAAGTGCAGACTACACAGCAAACCTCAAGGTGGAAGTGTCATGGCCGGGCACCAATAACTTTGTTCAAACTATGGACATTGAACAATGTCACTTCCGACGCAACATTGGAGCCAACGTTGACTTGAAAGAGCAGATCGCTTTGAAAGCTGGAGACGAATGCCAGCTAAAAGTTGTCATGACCACGGACGAACCTCCGCTTGTCCTTCAAAACTTTCCAAAAAGCAGGTTTACAGTGGCAGTGGACAGAGTTGCGAACTGTCCCTTTGAGCAAATTGAGTTTTCCTCCGAGGAAAAGGATCCAATCTTTTTCTGTGGGGTGTTTTACCAAAGGCCAAAGCCTTTGCTTAGATATTGATTGCAAATAATTTAGAGAGAGTGTGTCAAGTATTAAATTAGGATTGTATTTTTAATTCAAAAATGCTAACTATAATCCTATCAATCAAATTTATAAATTAAACCTCTTGCAAATAAATAAAATAAAATTTTTTTTATTTTAAATTTTATGTTTTAATGCAAAATTGATGTACAATGGTTAGATATTGTACCCCACCAATGAAGATCTAGATATTAAAAGGATATTTTATTATTATTTTTACTTTTACACAATAATGAGAGCTTGGTTAGCTAAGCGATTGTTGTCGTTTTCTCAAGTTTTGCATTGTTGGTATGATACATTGTTGGATTTGTTGTTTTGCATATCTCAGACAAAAGTCGTTTGTTGTAAAATAAGTCTAAAAGTTTGATCGCATCGAAAAATATTAATTTGCCGTCGGTGATTTTATTAATCAATTATGAATCATGAGCAAATTAATGTCATTGTGGAGGAAAAAGTTGAAGAAGAAAATTCGCACTGCCGGAAAGAGTATTAAGTGCTCAAAAGAATTACCTTTTTTTTATCAAAATTGTGCAATTTTTCAGCCAAGTGTCGTGGTTGGGAAGAATGTGGGTTTTGTTCAGGCCCAGTTCGCTTTGTCCGGAAAGCAACCTGGCCATTAAAGGAGGCCAAGTGTTGGTAGCGTCGCTGCTTTTTGGCCTCGCAACTTTTCTGCTCCTGGGAAAATCTGCAACTCCGCTGTCAGGACCGCTTTTCCAGTTCGCCTGCCTGACATTTGTTGCTTTGGCTCTCGGCAAACTGGTTTGCATTTTTTAATTTAAAGTTTTATTTTTTATTTTTAAATAAATCGATCCTTAAATAGTTTGACCTGATTGATTTGCCGCCTCTGATCGGAATGTTGCTCGCAGGGATTCTTGTGAAAGAACTCGGGATTTTCAACATTGGTCCGCAGTTCCAGGGCGAAATTTTAATTTTGAGGTATTAATTCTATAGTTATCCATGTATTAATATACATTGATTGAATACAAATTATCAACGCATTTTTCCGGTGTGACTAATGTAAATTGAAGTTTTTTTCTTATTTGATGAGATTTGAATTAATTTTGATTCTACTTTGTCTTTAAGTAAAAATTCTTAGTGCAATTTAAAAATATCTTAAGCTGATATGTACAGGTTGGCCCATAAGTAGTCCGTGATCTTTGACAGCTCGCCACGGGCGAACCGTTGGTCGAATTTGAAAAATCTGCACAGATTCTGAAAGCCCAACTTTCTACAAATTTGCCTGGCTTAGTAAGAATTTTGGCAGAGTTGAAATTGTAATTGTTTTAAAAGGAAAACTAAAAAATGAGAAAGTGCCTTATGGGACTTCCCATATAGCAGCATTATGAGTGTCGGAAGTTCAAAGTGAAAATCATGTTTTTTAGGTAAATCGACCCTCCTGAACACGAATCCGTGGTCGGTTTTTTGAAATTCTCATTATTTCTAATTTTTTCCCTCAATTTGCAAATATTTGCAAAATGTGCCAAAAAAACTAACACGTGGAGATAAAAATCTGAAAATTGCTGGAGGGGTGGATCTTGAACATAACAACAACGTAATTTTTCCATACTTGCTATTTTCCGGAAAATTGACCATTTTCACAAGGGGTCCACGTTTTGGTCGATTTCCCGATTTTTATGGGAGTTAAAAACAAAACTTAAAGTGATTCTGAAAGCTGATTAAATTTCCTATCTTTCTTCTGTGAACATTAACTTTCCAACACTGGCTGCTTTTCCGGAAAATTGAAGAAAAAAATTAACTTATTTTTCCCAGAGAGTATGCAACCCGCAACAGAAAGTCGAAATAGCCAAAATGTAGCTTGGTTCTTTGGCAAGACACCCCTAAAATTTCAAAACTTTTCATTCAGCCGTTTTTCCGCAATCGCTGATTTTCCCGACCCCTTTTGGGAAAAATAAAACTTTTCCGGAAAGTCATGTGTGATGCATCATTCGATTAGGCACGTCAAGGAGATGCTAGAAATGAATTTTTATCAAAATCGGATCATTTTTCAAATTTTCAGAGCAGATTTTGTAAATTAAAAAAAGTTCATTTTTCAAACTGCTCTGAAAATTTGAAAAATGATCCGATTTTGATAAAAATTCATTTCTAGCATCTCCTTGACGTGCCTAATCGAATGATGCATCACACATGACTTTCCGGAAAAGTTTTATTTTTCCCAAAAGGGGTCGGGAAAATCAGCGATTGCGGAAAAACGGCTGAATGAAAAGTTTTGAAATTTTAGGGGTGTCTTGCCAAAGAACCAAGCTACATTTTGGCTATTTCGACTTTCTGTTGCGGGTTGCATACTCTCTGGGAAAAATAAGTTAATTTTTTTCTTCAATTTTCCGGAAAAGCAGCCAGTGTTGGAAAGTTAATGTTCACAGAAGAAAGATAGGAAATTTAATCAGCTTTCAGAATCACTTTAAGTTTTGTTTTTAACTCCCATAAAAATCGGGAAATCGACCAAAACGTGGACCCCTTGTGAAAATGGTCAATTTTCCGGAAAATAGCAAGTATGGAAAAATTACGTTGTTGTTATGTTCAAGATCCACCCCTCCAGCAATTTTCAGATTTTTATCTCCACGTGTTAGTTTTTTTGGCACATTTTGCAAATATTTGCAAATTGAGGGAAAAAATTAGAAATAATGAGAATTTCAAAAAACCGACCACGGATTCGTGTTCAGGAGGGTCGATTTACCTAAAAAACATGATTTTCACTTTGAACTTCCGACACTCATAATGCTGCATACATGGGTGCGCTCAACAATTTTGCGCTCGCGCTCGCGCTCGCGATCACTGGCAACACTGCGCTCGCGCTCTGCGCTCGCGATCAAGATTTTGAAAATGTTGCGCTCGCGCTCTGCGCTCGCGCTCAAATTTTTAAAAAGTCTTGCGCTCACGCGTTGCGCTCAAAAATATTTTTATCCGAAGAAAAAGTGCGACTTTTTAGACAATTTTTTAATATATATATTGTTATAACAAAAAATACATCGGCAATTGGAAATGATAAAGTTGAAGTTAAATCACCAAAATTGGGATCAGTTTTGGTTTTTGGTATAAAAACACAGTTTTTCATTACAATTTTTGATCAAATTCGGGAATTTTTACTTTTGGTTTGAGCGCAAAATGAGCGCAATTGAGCGCTGCGCTCAGCGACCAATGCGCTCGCGCTCTGCGCTCGCGCTCACGATTTTGAAAATCGTGCGATCCCGCTCTGCGCTCGCGCTCATGAGCGCAGAGCGCGAGCGCAGATCGCAGAGCGCAAAGTGCGCTCTGCCCATGTATGTAATGCTGCTATATGGGAAGTCCCATAAGGCACTTTCTCATTTTTTAGTTTTCCTTTTAAAACAATTACAATTTCAACTCTGCCAAAATTCTTACTAAGCCAGGCAAATTTGTAGAAAGTTGGGCTTTCAGAATCTGTGCAGATTTTTCAAATTCGACCAACGGTTCGCCCGTGGCGAGCTGTCAAAGATCACGGACTACTTATGGGCCAACCTGTACATGAACTCTATAAATGACATAGAAATAAATTATTAATTAATTTCACTCGGCCCGACTTGGAGAAAAAATTCTCTTCCAGGAAAATTTCGATGACTGTGATTTTGATCAAAGCCGGGCTGAACTTGAACCCGGAGGCGATGCAGAGGCTGAGCTGCCTGGTGGTCCGACTCGCCTTCACGCCCTGCTGTGTCGAAGCGGTCTCGGTCATGTTGGCCGCCCACTTCATCCTCAAAGTCCCCCTCGTTTGGGGTCTGCTCATGGGGTGAGTTGAAGGCTAATTATTACAAAATATAGATGATTTTTTCATATCAAAATTTATTTTTTTATGATGTTTTTGCGGAAATAATAATTTAAATATATAGGCATTATATACTTCTGAAAAATATAGATTCTGCAGAATGTTTGAAACATTTTTGAAAATTGTTAATTATTTTTTCAAAATGAAAGTGATAAAAGTTGCATTTTCTCTAAAGGCTATATTCTCCTCTTAAATTTTTTAATGAAATATGTTAATTTATAACCTTCAATTTAAACTTAAAAAATGTTCAAATTTTTCAAGTTTTACTTTGCTCTAATAAACAGAAATAAAAATTAATAATATTTTTCCTACAAATCTGAAGAATTGATCATACAATGCTTATTTCTTATTAAATTTTTTACAGTTTTGTGATCGGAGCGGTTTCTCCTGCAATTTTGGTTCCGTCGCTGCTCAAGTTGCAAAAGGCGGGTTTCGGCGGCCAAAGTGGGATCCACACGCTGGGCATCGCAGCCTCCACCATCGACGACATCCTCGCCATTTCCGCGTTCGGAATCATTTCCGGACTTATTTTTGAGCACGGTCTGAATTAATTTCCACCCAAAATAAGAAAAAACCTATTTATTTTTGAAACCGCAGGCACTCTAGTTGGCGACCTGATCAAAGGGCCTGTCGAGGTTGTCCTGGGAATCTCCGCAGGCGTCTTGTTTGGCCTGCTGACGATTTACCTCCCTCACGGCTCTGATGTATTTTTAATTTTAATTTTGAAAATTAGAGTTTATTTAAATCCGTCTAGAAAAATGTGGTGCCGTTGCGAGTTTTCCTCCTTTTCTCCGGCGGAATCTCGTTTCTGTTCGGGGCTCACCGTCTCGGGTACGAAGGCGCCGGACCACTGGCCTGCATGATCTCTTCTTTTGTGGCCAGTTGTGGATGGAATTTGAGTGACGATGACCCCAAGGTGAATCAAACATGCAAATTTAAGTCAATCTTTCACTGCTAAAAAAACAATCAAATTAATCATGAATTGAAACAATGTCAAAATGAGACCAAATTTTTGAATTTTGAAGTAAACCCTTTGAAAAATATTATAATTTTAGTTTTAATAAATTTGCATTGGGATCTTTTTTTATTTTCTAGAATTCCACATCAAATCTATTAAATATTATTAGGCAAAGCTAAAATTTATGGCGAAAAAACCAAGAATAAAATTATAAAAAAGGCTTACTTCTGCAGATTGTATCTGAAAAATATTCTTGAATTGTTCAATATTTTTGCCCCTTCTACTATCTATATTCATAAAAAAAATAACCAAAATATGCAAGAAGTCGTATCATTTTTATATAATTTTAAAAAATAAATCAACTCCAATTTGTCAGGTCGTGCAAGAGGTGACAAGAGCGTTCTCCGGAATTTGGTTTGTTTTTGAGCCGATCCTGTTCAGTTTGATCGGCGCCGACATTCAACTGTCCCACCTGACAATGGAGATGCTTGGCAAAAGTTTGGCCGTGCTTGGCCTGGCTCTTCTGGTGAGCGCATCAATTTTACATCCAAAATAATTTAATTTGAATTGTTTCTCATTCAGATGAGGTTTGCGGCCGCGTACTTGGTGACATTTGGTGGAGTTTTCCAGAAAAAGGAGAGGCTTTTTTTAGCGATCGCGTGGATGCCAAAGGCCTCCGTGCAAGGCCTGTTGGGGCCGATCGCCCTCGAGATGGCCACACAAGCCGCCGATCAAACCGCGATGATCTACGGCGAATACGTAATTTGCTCAAAATTAAAATAGACACTTTTCTAATTTATAAATGCAGATATTGACCGTCGCAGTTTTGTCAATTCTTTTGACTGCGCCGGCAGGAGCGATTGCGATTAAACTGGCTGGTTCGAGACTCTTGCAGAAATCATAGGTTAAATACAAATAATACTTGTGCTTACTTAAAAGATATAGAAGCTTTTAAAAAGTTTATTAAATAATATCCCCTCATAAAACTGATTCTCATAAAAGTAAATTAGGATTCAAATGTATTTTAATTCTCCAAAGTATGCCAAGCGGCAGCCGTCGTATGTAAAAGGTAGTTATTAATATTTGCAAAGATTTTTTCAGCGTACAATCAATTAAGTATTGCAAAGATTCTTTCAATCAACCATTTTCTGAGTAATATGACTGTTAGGGTGAAATACATACTGGAGGTGGAAGTCTTTAGACGAGAAGAATATCAACCAATAACAAATGTGATAAAAGGCTCAATCTTATGGCTCTGGTTATTATATGCATGCTATAAAAGGCTTAGTGAAATTGATAAGTTTTTGAAATTATTCTAAAACTGTTACATTGAGAGTAGAAATTTTATACCAGCAATATCTTCTGATCCGATATTATTTTTCAAAGGAATATAATTTTAGCAGAGGAGGTATAAAGTTATTACGAGTCCCAGCAGGCGGTCGACCTTTCACTTTGACCAACTGCGTGACGTCGCGACGTCGCTCCGCCAGCACTGCTCGTCATTTAACTTTGGGCAAATCGCCTTCAATAATGAGACACTGCAGACTGCACCTTCCCAACAGGCCATTCTCATTGTTCGCGTCCTGCAAAATGTAAAATTCGCAAGTTCTTTATTTTATAATTTCACATTTAAAATATTTACCCATGCCCCAATAATCGTTGAGATTTTCTACTTGAATAATGTTTTTTTCTCCACAGCGTTTTCTCCTCCATTGTTCACAAAAGCCACTTCTTTTTCGCCTCCTTTTCATCCCTTTTGTTGCAGAAGTTTTGTGATTGTGAGCTGATATACAGTCTCTACATCTTCATCAGTTCCCTGTTCAAAATTTAATTTATTTCTATATAAATTTTGGGCTTTTTACATTAACTTCTTAGCAAAAAAGAACATTTTCATGGGCATTGCAGCCCTTTACATTTGGTCAAATTACTCAAGCGGCGGAGGAACGTGAATTGTGGTCTTTGGACACAAAGGCGCTCGCCAGCACCCCATTTGCGAGCCTTGCTTGAAAGGGTTGTTTATTGCTGCGAGACAAAAAGGGCGGAAAAGGAAAAACGGCTTCTCTCTCTGGTCAGCGGAGGGCAAAAAATATGACCGCGCTCATGCATTTTTTTGTCGCCAAACTTGCGAAATTCGATCCTTCCAAATGCTACAGAGTAAAGTTTCGTACGAGGAGGAACAAGTTGGTAAACTATTATTTTCACATCTCTTCACTTTTTGCCGAGAAACAAAAGTAAGCAGGACGCAAAACTGATAGAAAACACTTCAAAAATATTTGCAGGAAAAAGAAGATCCAACAAACCTCGGACAAATGTTCGATGAAAGAAAATAATGAGAATGAGCATTTTCCGCCTTCTTTTATTAACAACTTCAATTACAGTTTCATGCTTTTTTACCAATGGAAACAATTTAGAAATGTGTTTACAGAAATTTACACAAACGTCCATTATCAATCAATGACCAGGCTAGAAAACAAGAATAAATTTTTCCATGTCATTTCTCATTTTATCTATTTTTTTTTTTTTCATGAAAGGACACAAAGGCCTGAACATCTTTCTTATTTTTTTTTTAACTCTTGAGTTTTTAAAATCCACTTGACACTTATTCTAAATATCTATTTTATATTAAAGAGAAAATATTACATTTGCTTTTCAATAGTTTAAAAACTTATACGTAAAAACAGTTGGAGACTTTCTTACATTATTTATGTATTTTTATGGCGGCTGGAAAAGTCTACAATGGTAAATTTCTAAACACAATTTATTGCCAATAACAAAACGATCCATTTTAATGGTTACAAGCACAGGAAGTTTTATTCGTATTATTTTTGAAAGCTCTTTAATTTTCCTTGACTGAGTGAGTTAATTGTACACGGAGGAATCATCTTCCTGATGAGACGGTTTTGAGATTTTTGGGCTCTCTTTTGCAAACGTTTTTTTCTTTTTATTACAAATACAATTCATTCGTCTTAAATCAAAATTAATAATAAATTAAATCATGAAGTAGCATCATCCTGACAAAGATATTAATCTCTAATGAAGTTGCAGAGTTTTGGAAATTTTAAATGCAAATAAAATCACATTTTTTTAATAGATCCACAAAATTCACACTTCTCTCACTTTCACTTGTGAGGGAGAAAATTTGCTTCAAGAAAAAAAAGGAGAAAAGCTATTTAAACTTACAAAATATTACTGTATCTTCTCCCAATTTTAGGACAGGGACGACAGGGTGGATTGGATCCAAAATAATAAATGAACTCTGGAAATTAAAAAAAAAGTTAAAAAAATGGAATAAATGCTGTAAAATAAGTTTCTGCTTTTGGCACTGAATTAAAAATATCTTTGCTTTCATTAGCATTTAGCAATTTTACAACAAAAATTCACATTCAGAGCAAAGCCGGAGTTACACACTTGAGTGGAAATTTAAAAAGCCAGATGGAAAACAACAGGCGAATGACAAATGATTTTTTCAACATGCGTGCTTCGGTGCTTTCGGAAGGGTTGAAAAATGTGATTGACGGCGCCGAGAGTTTGGAAAAAAACGAATCGCTCTCGCTGAAGAGTCAATTAGCCGCACTCGGAAATTTTCTGCAATCGGCGAACCAAAAAGAGGGGGCTTGGGGCTGACTAGCTGCACACGACCAGCACCGCGGCCACCCACAGCACCAGGCTCGCCCGCCAAAACGGGCCGCTCACCACCAACGCTGACCCTGTCCGGTTCGGCGACGTCACTGCATAAAAAAAAACATTTATTCATCTCTGCAATCAATAAAATTGTGTACATTTATTTTTTGATAAATGGAAATTAATTTTAGACCACAAAACTTACTAAATTTTGTGTAACCTTATTTATTCATCGTTAATTCTTGAATTACTTCTTACTGTTTTTTTTATAAATTAAATTATCTACATTTTGCTTAATAATTTGAAATTGCATTTTGATAAATAAGGTCAAATTTTCATTTTCATTTGAAAATTTTATTTCTAATTTCAATATTTAATTTTTTATTTTAGAACTAAATAAACGTCCATTGAACCAAAACAGATAATAAGAGAAAAGGTTTATAAAAACTTCAGTGTTAATGAAAAAAAATTTCGTTGGGACCTCTTTCCGGTTTGGGTTCGACGGCGGCGGCGCTGCTGACGGGTCCGTCCCTGGCGAAGGGCGGCGCGTCGATGCGCGACCTGACGACGACCTTGGCCGTTTCTGCGTAGACGCCAAGGATGGTGGCGTCGCAACGGACGGCGACGCGGCTCTGCGCGGTGAAGTGGAACGGCCGCAGCTTGAGCGCCAGGCCCGCCTGCGCCGCCTCCGTCCCATCCGTCGTCACCCGCGACCCCCGCGACCGAACCTCCTCCGCCCCCACCTGCAAAACGATTTCAATGCAAATTTGGAATCAACTTCATTGGCAAAATTAAGGAAACAATTTTGATAAAAATTGAGAAAAACATTTCACAACAAAATTAAAAACATGAAAATAAGTGCAAAAAAACCACGCAAAAAGGATTGAAGCCAAAAATTTCTCTGCCGATTAAATTTAAGTTCAAATAAGACGATAAAAGGCAAAATTGTAGGTTTTAATAGGTAAATAGATTCTTATCTGCCACATTAATTAATTAAGATTAATCATTTTTATTCTAAAGCAAAAGTCACTCTTTGCGTTTGCAGCTCCTGGTCTAATTACTTAGCTTTGCAATTGTTTGAATGCAAATGAGCCGCTGATTCTGGTTTGCTTTGATCAGAAAGAAGCAAGAATATCTGCTTGAACATATTCAGAAAGCGATGGATTTGCAACGGCCCAAGGACAAACATTCTCAATTAGCCTGATTAAAAGTTAATCCTGCAAAACAAAAGTGCTCCTCAAAGGATCACCGAGCCGATCCTCTTCCTCGGCTAATTAAAAGTTTTTGTTCCTTTTCGGCGCGTGACGTCACAAATTATTATATCGCGGCTTGTTAAATAATTAACGAAGGCAGCAGGATTAAAAAAATTTGCTGCTCGAAGGGGTGAATTATTCACAAGCAGGTGAGCGGCACTTAGGAATGCAAATTGAATCTGAAAAATGGAGCAGCCGGGAAAAGAAGCTCGCAGAGCGAAATTTACATGCGCCGGTGACGAAAAAGAGCAAAATCTCTTGCAAGACTTTAGGGATTTTGGGACTTTTTCCGTGTTTCCTCCTCCTAAACCCGTGCTATAGTGGAATTAGCCGTCATTTTGATTCATAACGTGATTTTTTCATAAATTAAGTATTAAAAAGACCATGTATAATTTCTTTTAAATTATTTAAATTTTATTTATTTTTTGCTTAATATCACTGGGTTGTTGAAAATTAAAGTTTTGTTTTGAGGGGGGTAATTTATCTACATAATTATCCTCAGCCTATACAATGAACAAAGACATAAAAGCAACGAATCGCTTCTTCTCTCTTGTTTATATTCAATTGAATGGAAGTGAGCAACAGTTTCTGTCTTGTATTATCGCAAAGACCACAAAGGCCTTCAGTTGTAGAAGAGAATTTTTGTTCTTTTTCATGAGTTGAGATGAAATTTTCTTTTGTTCCTCAAAAAGGCTTTTGCTAATCAACTGGACAAGCGAACAACAAAGAAAGGAATGAAAAGATGAAAGGCAATTTTGATTCGTTGCAGTTAATTTGGCCCTTAACTTAATGAAAGCGATTCCAGTTTATTTTTACATATTTTCAAAACACACACTTTTTCAATCTGATAATTTTCCGATGTAAGTCTCAAGGAGAAGAAAAGTTTCCATTCGTCTGAAATTAAAATTCAACAAAGGAGTGAATTTTGACGCTAGAAATAAATTTTGTCCGCCCACAATCAAATATCGTGTGAAGGAAACAAGAAACTGCTGGTACTCCAAGTTTGTTTATTTTCTCGCATGCTGGCTGC